TCATCAAGGGAAGCCTCAGCGATGGGCACCAGGAGACCCTGGAGGCCTCCGAGTCGGACTCTACGGTGGAGAACGTCAACCTCTCTCCGTGCCTTAGCGAAGAGCTGCTGGATGCGGGACTGGATATTCTCATCGCCTCCAATCTCAGGGAGAAAACGGAGTCTGAGCTGAGATTTGAGGAGGACGAGCGTTGGGTGATGATGGAGGAGTGGGAGGAGGCGACGCTGTCAGAGAGAGGAAAGGCTGTTCTGGTGGCAGAGGAGAAGAGGAGCTGTTGCTTGGCAGATATTACTGAGGAAAGGGAACAATTCACTGCTCTGACGGACCCCCCCAGCCCGGGGGCCTCCCGGTCCTGTGCATCCCGGGGGGGTGCCGGCAGCCCCCCTGCTGACAGCATGTGCTGTACTGAGGACACAGCGGTGCAGTGCCAGGTTGAGGACTTGGCTCCGGGTTCAGAGCGCTCAGCCAGCCCCACGGGCCCCGAATTGTCCGACACGGACTCGGTGCAGATGTTCCTGGAGCTGGAGGAGCAGTGCCTGAATGAGGACGAGGGTGATGGGGCTGCCCCCGGCTGCCTGGAGGTTCAGGTCTCCCCGATGGATTCAGAGGGGCTGGACCCAGATTCAGCCAAACTGGCCCGGGTGGGGGTGGAAGCGTGTCAGCACAGGGCCCCTTTGGACATCAGCGCTTCAGACTCTGCCGTTGTGTCAGATCTGGAGGACTTTGATGTCACCTGCAGCTCGCAGGTGCTGAGCGCGCTGGAGCCCTTCTCGGAAAGGGACACCTCGGCCGTCACCCCGACGGACTCGGATGGAGGGGCCTCCCCCAGCCCCATGGCCACAGCAGGGCCAGGCTCCCTCCTGCGGTGCTCCCCGGCACCAGTGGAGGATGAACCTGACCCGCTGGTGGAGCTGGAGCTCGCAGGCAGTTGTGTGGTGGTGGTGGCGGGTGGTGAGATGCCATCACCTGAGGTGGGCACAGGTCCAGCTTCTGGCTTTGAGGAAGCTGATGACCCCAGTGCTGGGGTGGGATGGGGCATGGAAAACCAAGACTTGCTGGTCCCTGATGGGGAAGCATCAGAGCTTCCTGAGGAGACCGGTCCTGACCGAGCATCCCCCTGCCACCCCCCAGCTCCCCCCATGGCGGTGGAGGGGCTGGAGTCTCCCCCACAGCACCACAAGGACAGTGTTGAGTGGATGGATCCATTTGGGACCCATCACCTTCTGCCAGGAAGGACTGAGCTTCCCAGCTGGGATGTCCCACAACTGGTTTCTCAGGGTGAAGCCACAGACTTGGGGTCAGAGAGTGATGGGGCTGAGGGCCAGGCTCATGTGGCAGAAGGGGATGCTCACTGTGGTTCTCTGCCACCTTTCCACACCGGCTCTGCATCAGAGCTGGGCTCCGAGGCTCCAACAACATCCCCAGTGCATGTTGAAGACCTTCTATGGGAAACGGATCCCCTGGCTCTGGAAGGGGCTGCCCATGCTGAGGGGTCCCCCATGGAGGTGGCCGTCATGCACAGGGATGCCCCAGCCGCCATCCTGCAGCCGGGAGACCTGGACTTGCTGTTTGCCGGTGGCTGGGAGGGGCGGTCAGCAGCACGGTGCTGTGCCATGGTGCTGGGTGACGGGGCCCCATGTGCTGCCAGCCCAGCAGCCCTGGAGGAGCTTCCCAGCACATCACCCATTGTGGGGCAGCCTGCTCCTGATGCCATCCTAAGGGGTGTTGGAGGGCTCTCTGCTCCAGGGGATGTGGCTGTACCAGAGCTCCAGGCTCAGGAGACTCCACCAACCACTGGGGATCCAACCATGGATGCTGATGAACCATGTATTGAGCACCTGCCTCCAGATGCCACCACCACTGCCATGTCCTTGGCAATGGAAGAGCTTCTGGATGCTCCACCACCCTTTGCTGACGTGCCTGTTGCCGCTGTGCCACCACAAGCAGGCGACCCACTCGTCTCCAGTGTTGGTGGCCCTGTGCTGCTGTCAGTGGTGGGGCCAGCAGTGGCCTTGGGGGATACAGATGACTTTGCCAACACGGTTGTGCCGCCCATCCCGGAGGAGCTATCCCCCGAAGTGGTGGCTTTGGAGGGTGACCCCATGGTGGGAGCATCCGCTTTGGCTGTGGCAGCCTGGGATGGTGCCATGGAGGGGCCCTCCTTCACCTTCCTGCCCCCTTTGGAAGGACCCAGCTCCCCAGAGCCATGCGTGCCCCCGGGGGACACCCTCCATCCCCGCAGCCATTCCCCGGTGCCTGTGGACACGGAGGGACCCCCGCTGGCCACCGCTCCCCTTGCAGAGGGGCCTCCAGCTCCACCGGATGGATTCGTTCCAGATAACGAGGTATTTGCTGCCCGGATGGGGTTTATTTTGTGCTTGAGGGGTGGGTGGGAGGTGGGAACTCAGGAACACAAGGCCAGGATCTGCCTCCCAAACAGCCTCCTCCCTCCGGAGTTCAGCTTGGATTTGGGAAGCAAAGCATTTCGGGGGGGGGGGGAGTTGTGTGTTTTTGTAAGTAGGGTTTCTGCTGCTCGATGACCTAAACCATTGTCTTAAGCTTTTTTGGCTTCTCCAAGTACATTACGGTCACCCCGATGTAAATCACAGGCTTGAGAAAAACCTTTTTGCCAGATCCTGGCAGGGTGGTTCCCGTCTCTGAAGCAGAAAATGCATTGCAAGAGAGAATCCTGTGAAACAAATTAAGAGCAAATAATTCCTGTCCTGGGCAGTCAGTGCTTGCTGCAGCTTTTTGAGCAAGCACGGAGGTGCTGAGGCTCTGGAAGGGCTCAGATTCTCTCTGTTGTTTGGGGATTTGCTTTGCTGTGCCATAGTTTTGCCTGGAGAGACCTCGGTGGTGGAGTTCCCACAGCCGAGTGCTGGTTTCCTGCCATCTGGATTAGGAGAGATATCACTAAGGAGACATCAGAAGTTAGACAGCGCCTGAAATCCCAATTCGGTGGCGTTTCCTCATCCTTTGGGCTGTGCCACGCGTGCGAGGAACACACATGGAGAGGTGTTCTCACATGGGGGGGTCCATGTGAGCATGGGCTGGGGCACCCAATGTGGACGTTGGTGAGGAAGCAGAGCTCTTGGGTTCTTGTCTCTTTGGTGTCAGTGCGTCCTTGCTGGAGGGACCCTTGTTTCAAGTGCAGCATCTCATTGTTAACCCCATCAATCTGCCTTGCTCAAACACTGTTGAAGCCATTGGCAGCTCTGGGTCTGTGCTGGTTCTTCCCACTTTGGGGCCTGGCCCCCTGTTTGGCAGTGGTGGGGTTAAGGAGTGCAGGAGATGGAGGAAGCAGAAAGTGAAGGGATGCTTTGGGAAGCTGCTTTGGGAAGCATTGCTGGGAGTGGAGCAGACGTCCTTCAGCTTGCCAAGACGTCTGTCCAGCCGCTTCGCCCGGGCAGGACGCCTCGCTCTGCGCCTTCTCCTGCCCAGCAAATAGGTATTAAATATGAGCCTCAAAGCTGAGTCACCGTGAGGTTAATGAACTAAATCACTGGAATCCTTTATGAGCAACGAAACACAATGCGTTGGCCGTGCTCTCTCCTCAGGCTGTGGCTGTGATTGCCTTTGTAGGGATCCTTGCGCAGCGATTCATGGTGCAGGTGCCTGTGGCTGGGTTTGCTCATGGCTCCTGCCCTGCTCCGAAGCCCTGGAGTTTGTTTTCTTGCATGCCAGGCTTATCAGCCTGGTCCTTTTGTGGCTTTGGCTGCTCTGGCAGCCGGCTCCAGATATAAACAGCCACGGGAGCAGCAGCCAGGGCGTCGTTGGTTCCGTGGCACCGTTTGTTTCTTAGAACCGTGGCATAGTTTTCCTGGAGCAAACAGCTCCTGGATGGGAAGAAATCACTTGGGAAATGAGGCAAAGAAAGTCAAGGTTCCCTTCGCTTGGGCTGGGAACTTTGTGTGTGTTTGCCTGCCTTGTGTTCCTTTGGAGGCCAAGCGTCTGCTGGGTCCGCAGAGCTGTGCCATCCATGAGCTGCTGCTCTGTTAGGAGAGATCCTGCATCCGAGTGGGACTTTATGATGCCATCAGTGTCCGTTCAGTCTCTGGCACATGAGGAAGCAGGCGGCTGCCTGTGATCCCTCTGCTTCCCAAAGAGAAGGGATTGTGCCAGGGCTGAGGGCTCTGCTCCTGCCCAGCGCTGGGTGCAGGGTGACCTGTGCTCTGGGTGGGTTTGTGGTCCAAGGGACCAGAGGAAGTGATGGAGGGCTGCTTTTCCTTTGGTTTTCCCAGGTTTGTCCCTTGGGACCCGGCTGTGCGGCTGCAGGGACCATGCAGGGCGGCCGTCAGCATGGTTAGAGCAGATCCCCAGCTCTGATACTCTGATAAAAGCACTTATCTCCTTTCAGAGAACAGGATTTGCCCTGCTGCCTCTCTTTACAATGGGGAGCTTCATCTGCTCTCCTCCCCCTTCCCTATCGCATCTTTTTTGTTCTAAAAAGCTTTTCCCCACAGGATTCCCAGGCAGGACCATGCCAAATGCGTGGTGCAGTAAATGACTGGCACATTCATTGCTCATTGCCTTTGTCTTTCGAAACACAGCCGGCTTCATGGTGTCTGTAATTTTGTGGTTAACAAACTCCTATGATGTCAGGTCTCTGTTCTCAACAGCATCACTGTGAGAATTGCTTTAGGTTTTCCCCCAGGAGCATCGTTTCCCAATCTGGTGGCTGGCCAGAGCCAGTGCTCTCATTTCTTCCCCCATTTGCTCTTTCCACCTTGCCCCAGTGCTTGGAAAAAGGGGATTTACCCATTTAAAAGCAGAGGTGGATGCTTATGGATCCCAAGCTGTGCTCCACACTAGTGACATCTGTGTTACTGGGTCAAGGCGAGGGAGGAGTTCAAACTTGTGCAACTCTGATGAAATCACTGCAAAGAGCTTCTGCATCTTCTCTAGAGGAGAAAGCCTTTTGTATGTGAATGATTGGAGGGGCTCTAAGAGCATCTCGTGGGTTACAAACCCCTTTTCTCTCCCGCCCTTCCCACTCCTAGCTGTTCCAGAAGGAGCAAGTGGATCCTCTCCAGCTAAAACTACAGCAAGTCAATGGAGTTGGTCAAGGACTCATCCAAAGCGCCGGGAAAAACTGTGATGTCCAAGGGCTGGAGCATGACATGGAAGAAATCAACACCCGCTGGAATACCCTCAACAAGAAGGTGAGAGCATGGGGATGGGGGCTGTAACCAGATTCTCTGGGCCCTGTTGGGGTTTGGTAGAAGAAGGGGGTCATTGGCAAGGAGCTGAGGCTCCGGTGTCAATGCATCTCCAGCCTGACGGTGCGGTGGGGTTGTGTTTGGGGTTCAGGTGGCCCAACGAGTTGCTCAGCTGCAAGAGGCCCTATTGCACTGCGGGAAGTTCCAGGATGCCCTGGAGCCGTTGCTGAGCTGGCTGGCAGACACCGAGGAGCTCATCTCCAACCAGAAACCTCCCTCTGCCGAGTACAAGGTGGTGAAAGCCCAGATCCAGGAGCAGAAGGTGAGCAAGCACAGGGTGACAACAGGCTCAGTGGGGCCGGGAGCTCTGCACAGCCAGACAGTGTTTTGGGGTCCAGCTGTAACAGCAAAGCCTATCTGGAATGTCCACAAACCTGCTTCTTTCATGGGGACCTCAGAACAGCTTCCAGTATCTGAAGGGGGCCTATAAGGATGCTGGGGTGGGACTCTTCACTAGGGACTCTAGTGATAGAAGGGGTAACGGGTTCAAACTTAAACAGGGGAAGTTTAGATTGGCTATAAGGAAGAAGTACTTTACTGTGAGGGTGGTGAGGCACTGGAATGGGTTGCCCAGGGAAGCTGTGAATGCTCCATCCCTGGCTGTGCTCAAGGCCAGGTTGGACAGAGCCTTGGGTGCCATGGTTTAGTGTGAGGTGTCCCTGCCCATGGCAGGGGGTTGGAACTGGGTGATCTTAAGGTCCTTTCCAACCCAAACTATTCTATGATTCCATGGTGGATCTTCTGGATCCCCACATCCTAATGTAATAAGCAGGCAGCTCCTTTGACCACACTTGCTATCTCCACTGTCCCAGTCACCAGCATTACTTTACCCTCCTGCTGCCTCTTGAAGTTTGCTGCTGGTTTTGCTGGTCGGCCGTGTTTTTCCAGCGCTGGCTTCTGTTTGTGGTGGCAATTCTGCTGCGTCAGGAGCAAGCTGCTGTTGTAGGCACTGGTTTGGGTACTGGGACAAGCTGTAAGCCCCGGCCTGAGGCACGCCGGTGTTTGCAGAGATAACAGCCTGGGTCGGCGCCTGCCCTTGTGAGCCAGCGAGGGAAAGTTCAAGTGTGGTCATGGTAAAACATCTCAGAAATGAATTCTTACCAGGGCTTGGCCCGAAGTCTTGAGGCTCTGAAGAGGAGATGTATTTGAAGTGGAAGTTAAAACGTGATCGCGATAAGTTAGGGGGTGATAAGGAAGCCTCTGAAAAACTCCCCAGCGCAGAAGTGCTTTGAGTCTCTTAGAATAGAAATTGGAATAGAGTGGAACTGAACGGGATAGAATAAAGTGGAATGGGATAGAATGGAATAGGATAGAATATTTCAGTTGCAAGGGGCCTACAATGATATCTAGTCCAACTGCCTGACCACTTCAGGGCTGACCAAATTAAAGCATCTCATTACGTTGTTATTATTAGTTTTAAACTGGTTTTGATGGCAGAGGCTGTCCCATGGGGCTGGCTTTGGTCTTAGCCCCATCCTTACAAGTGGTTTTCAGCCACGATGAGAGATTCCACCTCTCTGAGGGCTAGAATTGGTTCTGCTGCTCCAATCTGGTAACCCTGCTCCTTTGGTCTCACTGTAAAGCTGCTCCAGCGCCTCCTGGACGATCGCAAAGCCACCGTGGAGATGATCCAGGCGGAAGGCGGCCGGATCGCGCAGTCGGCAGAGCCCGCGGACCGGGAGAAGATCGTGGGGCAGCTGGAGAGCCTGGAGCGGCGCTGGGCAGGGCTGCTGGGCAGCGCGGCCGGCAGGTGAGGGGCAGCTCATCCTATGGGCTCCCGCATGCGGGGGTTTGTGTGCAGACACATCCTGAAAACAGCTGGAAAACACGGGAAATCAAAGGCAGTCTGGGAGCTGAAGCTGAGAGCGGTGCCTTACAATGGCTGGGAAGAGCTCGGATTAAATAAATTCCCTGCAGGGGATGGATGTTATTTTTATTCCTTTAAGCTTTAACGTTTAGCTCGAGCGGCAGCATCCTGTTGACACCTTCCTGCTGCCTGAATCTCATTTATGAATCGCTTGTTGCTACATAAGCTAATTTTTGAGGTTATGAAATCACTTCTGAAGGCCCCATTTGACCTTCCCAGTGTTTTAAATCCCTGCCAAGATGGGACTGCCCATGTAAGACTTGTATCAGTGCTGGAATGTCTTTGAACAGAAGCTCAGCAGCTCCCAGACACCAAGAGCCCGGCCACAAGCTGAGCATGTCAGAGCATCTCCAAGATAATGATGGGAATGGGAATGGGTGTAAAGCAGCCCAGTGAGGGAGCCTTTCTGCCGCTTTCCCAGGGGGATAAACTGGACCCAAAGGCGCAGCTGCACGAATCAGTTTATTTTGCAGTTTCCCCATGCTGATTTTTGTCCTTGCCTTTGCAGCTTGAATGACAGCGTCCCACCTTGCTCTGAGCAGGGCTGCTTTGGTTCCCTCTTCCTAATACTCAAAGCTGCTTCCTATGCCTGGCTCCAACAGGGAGCTGCTCCTTAGTGCTTTATTCCTCACTACAGGCAGAAGCAGCTGGAGGACATCTTGGTCCTGGCAAAGCAGTTCCACGAGACCACAGAGCCCGTGTTGGACTGGCTCTCGGTGACAGAGAAGAAACTGGCCAATTCAGAGCCTATCGGCACCCAGACTGCCAAAATCCAGCAGCAGATCAGTCGGCACAAGGTAGGACCCAGGAGCTGCTGATGGAAGTGATCGCTCTCAGGTCCTGCTCACGTGGTTGTTTCTGCCCCAGCGAGGGGGTTTGGGGCACAAATAAGGACACAGGGAGGTTCCCAGGGTGCTTTATGTAGAGAGAAGGCTCCAAATCCTAACTCAGAGTGGGTAAATACTGAACTGATGTCTTTGTGCCTTGCGACTCTGGGTAGAAAACCCATTCCTGCTGTTGTGTTTCAAGGAGTCACAGAATATCTCAGATTGGAAGGCATCATCGAGTCCAACTCCCTGCTCCTTGCAGGACTACCTAAAACCAAACCATCTGACCAAGAGCTTTGTCCAGATGCTCCTTGAATATCAGTCCCGGTCCCTGCACACCAGAGCTGTGCTAGCAACTTTGTGTTAAACCTTCCCTTTATTCTGTTGCAGTTTGCCCGTTCACGGATGGGTTTCGTGTCTCCTCCATCCCGTCACTCACATTCATTGTTTCTGTTTCCCCCTTTTTTGCGTTCGTTTGGTTATTTTATCCATTTTTCAGTTTGGTTTGGTCACTCATTTTCCTTTCTGTTGTTCCATTTTATCCTCCCGCCATTCAGGCTCTAGAGGAAGAGATAGAGAGCCATGCGGGCGACGTGGCCCGGGCGCTCGGGGTCGGGCAGTCCCTCTCCTCCCTGAGCTGTGCCGCTGAGCGCAGGCTGCTGGCAGAGCGGTTGGAGTCTCTGCAGAGCCGCTACGGCGAGGTCCAGGAGCGGTGCTGCCGGAAGGCAGCGCTGCTGGATCAGGCGCTATCGAACGCCAGGCTCTTTGGGGAGGAGGAGGTGGAAGTGCTCAACTGGCTGGCTGAGGTCGAGGACAAGCTCGGCTCGGTATCCGTAAAGGATTACAAACGGGACGTCCTGCAGAAGCAGCATGCCGACCAGCTGGTATTTTCCATTTTCTTCCATGCTTATGTTGCTTGTTTGGTTGCATTTCTCTGTCTTTAGTGGCGTTTCTGGTCTGACTTTAATTTGACATAGCTCGTTCCACTGCTGGTTCCACTTCTAGGCTTGGAGAAGCGTAAAGAGGTTTCATGTGTTAAAAACAATCGTTATGGCCCCAAAAAGTGGGTTTCCCAGAGGGGAAAACATCCAATTATTCATCTGCTTTGTGAACAATGTCTGGGCAAGCTTGGCCACCCCGTGCCTTTAGAAAGCTGGATGCTGTTTCCAAGAATGAGAGCTTGAAAAGCCCAGTGGGTTTTCCAAGGCAGGCTGGCCACCGAGGGAGCGTCTGCTTCCGCTCCTGGGGCCATGCAAGTTCCTTTCAAGAGTGAGGTTATGTCTAATACAAGGGCGAACACAGATCCAATGGGTTGGGTTGGGTTTGCTCTAAGATTGGAGCCTTTTAGTCCCAGAAGTCCTAATAATGCCCACAGAAGGATGTCTGGACAAGTACCACATCTGATGTTCGCCCATCCCATACTCAGGAGGAACACTTCATGCTCTCCTTAGCATCTCTGGCTGGCAGGACACAGGGACCTGCCTGCAGGAGGATAACCCCAACTTGCCTTTCCCTCCAGGCTTTGAATGAGGAAATTGTCAACAGGAAGAAGAATGTGGACCAAGCCATTAGAAACGGGCAAGCTCTTCTGAAGCAAACCACAGGTACCACAAAGATCTGGGGATGCTCCGGCTGATGCGGGGGGTCTGGGTAGCGCCTCTCCTCCACACAATCTTCTCTGGGAAGCCCATGCTCTGCAGTGATAGAGGGAGGATGTTCTTCCTGAGGTCTCATTTCCTTTTGGATACTCCCAAAGGAGCTGGTTTGCATCTAGAGCCACAGAGTGCTCCAGCTTAATACTTTGGACTCACTTAGTCCCAAGTCTCATAGCTCGGTGTGCGGGTGATTCCCACCAGCGTGGCGATGCTCTGTGCTGAGCAGCCCTGCAACAGGAGGGAGGGTTTTCCCATTGCATCCAGCTGCTGAATCACATGGAAAGAGGTTAAAAATACACCCGTCCCTTTCCTAATATCGCTTTCCCATGCTGAGCAGTTGTTGCTGTTGCCACGTGGGTGCGAGTTTATGTTTCTGAGTGGGAAGAAAGGTCGGGGCGATGCATTTCCTTCAGATGTGGTGTGCTCGGAGCAGATGTCCAGGCCTGTCCCTGTGAGAGCCGTGCAGCAGGAAGAGTGATTACAAAGAATTTGGCTCGCAGTCTCTTGTCCCCTTTGGGAATAGCAGTAAAGAGTGAACTGGACCTTTTTTTTTCTTGGTAGTTGAGAGCTGAGTTGCGGTGGTTTTGGGGCTTGTGGCAAAGCCAGGCTTCGCAGCATGATCCCATCCTGTTCCCGGGATGGTGTGCTGGCTGGTGGAAAGTGTCAGCTCTAAGAGCAGCTTCCTGGCTGTAAAAACAGGCTGCGAAGCTGCGCTTTGCAGCACTTTGCACTTTGCATCCCTTCCAGGGATGGGGCAGCCACAGCTTCTCTGGGCACCCTGTGCCAGCGCCTCAGCACCCTCACAGGGAAGAGCTTCTGCCTAAGAGCTCAGCTCAGTCTCCCCTCGGGCAGGTTCAAGCCATTCCCCTTGCCCTGTCCCTACAGGCCCTTGTCCCAAGCCCCTCTCCAGGTTTCCTGCAGCCCCTCCAGGCACTGGAGCTGCTCTAAGGTCTCCCCTTCAGGAGCCTTCTCTTGTCCAGGCTGCCCCAGCCCAGCTCTCTCAGCCTGGCTCCATAGCAGAGCTACTCCAGCCTCTAATCAAACCAGGGGAGAACAGGGCAGGTTGCTGCTTAAACCTTCCTGCAGCACCCACAGCATCATTTGCCCCTTGGTGCCGTCTGACAGGGGAGGAGGTGTTGCTGATCCAGGAGAAGCTGGATGGGATCAAGACCCGCTATTCGGACATCACCGCCGCCAGCTCCAAAGCACTGCGCACACTGGAGCAGGCTCGGCAGCTGGCCACCAAGTTCCAGTCCACGCACGAGGAGCTCACGAGCTGGATGAGCAGCGTGGAGGATGAGCTGGCTTCCAGCGGGGGACAGTCCCCAGCCAGCGAGCAGATACCCCAGTTCCAGCAGAGGCAAAAGGTGGGAGCAGCACCCGGGGAGCGCGAGGGTGGGAGACAGCAGGGATTTGCTTGTTGTGTTGAGAGGATGGGGGGTGATGTTCTTGGGTATCCATGGGTGCCTTCCACAGGAGCTGAAGAAGGAGGTGATGGAGCACAGGCTTGTCCTGGACACGGTGAATGAGGTGAGCCGAGCGCTCTTGGAGCTGGTTCCCTGGCGAGCCCGGGAAGGGCTGGACAAGCTGGTGTCCGACACCAACGAGCGCTACAAGCTGGTCAGTGACACCATCAAACAGAGAGTGGAAGAAATCGATGCTGCTATTCAGAGGTCTCAACAGGTAATTGAATAACCCCACTGGAGACTGATGGGGTTTCTTGGGAGAGCGGGAGCGAGCGGCTCAGCACCGCTCCAGCCCATGCAGCACGATGGTTGTGAGAGGGGTCGCAAGCACAGCACAACAGAAGAGGGAGATCCCATTGGGAATGCCAAGAAATGAATGGGCCCCACCAGTTGTGCATAGCAGCCAGGCTGGTTTCTGACCCATCCTATTGTGTGTGGTTTGGATTGGATAACTGGTGCAGCACTGTGTTATCCTGCCTACAGGCTTTAGCTCACATGGGTGATGGAGAAGGTGTAAAACCAATGGCAGGTGACTTTCAGGCCTGGAAGAACATCATCCCGTGTTCTGATAGCACAGGGATTTGTTCCAGGTGAACAGTCCTCTCAAGAAAGGCTTGTTCTACACAGACTGGAGGCTGTGGAGCTCTCAGAAACCTGTGTCCACCCCAGTGTCCCCTTCTCCCCACACCCTGGTTAGGCGTTAGTTCCCCACATCCCTCTGGGTCCCCCATCTCTCCCACCATCCCCACCTTGCTCCATCCGTGCTGCCCATCACTAACCTGTGCTGCCTGTCCTCTCCCGTGGTCCAGTACGAGCAGGCGGCTGATGCGGAGCTGGCCTGGGTGGCTGAGACCAAGCGGAAGCTGATGGCTCTCGGTCCCATCCGCCTGGAGCAGGACCAGACAACAGCCCAGCTGCAGGTGCAGAAGGTACGAAAGCACTTGCTTAGCCAGGAGGAATGGGCTTTGGGTGGTGGGATGGGGTTTGAGTGATGGGATGGGGTTTGAGTGATGGGATGGGGTTTGAGTGATGGGATGGGGTTTGAGTGATGGGATGGGGTTTGAGTGATGGGATGGGGTTTGGGTGATGGGATGGGGTTTGAGTGATGGGATGGGGTTTGGGTGATGGGTTGGGGTTCAGGGGAACAACTTTGGCCTGGGGTTTATGGTGCTGAGCCCAGGAAAGATTCCAGCACTTGTCCTTGGTAAGCAGATGGAAAAAACAAGGGAGAAAGGGGATTTAGAGAAACAAAATGCTGGGCTTCTAAAGGAAGAAGCCTTGTGTCCTGTCATGGCTGTTTAGGGACGGATGGGTGCTCTTTGCTGTACTTTCAAGGGCTTCCCATGTATCCACTGGAGCAGCTCTCCATGGATCTTGGAGGTGCTGGCAACAGGAAGGGTTCAGAGAGAAGTATCTATTGATTAATGAGGGTGCTTTTACATTTGCTTTTTGCTCATTGTTCCTTGCAGTGGGGGACTCGGTTCCCTCCCAGCAGCCAGACATGGAACAAAGAGGCGCTGAGGGGGGGTTATATCTTTGAGATGAGCTCATCTCAAAGGGCCTGAAAGAACAGCACTTTAAATATAAACGGCCCTTTTCTTCCCTTAGCCAGCCTCAGCGATCAGAGCAGAGCACGGGCTTATTGGGCTTGAAAACAAAAAGGAAACATAAGACATTGTTCTAAGGGAGGGGACTGAACCATTGAGTATTGAGTTAAATTGAGCTCAGCTTGGCTTCCCGCTGCTCCTCGCGTGGATCTTGGGAATGGCAAAGTTATTGGCAGATGCAGTTCTGGAGAGTGATGGTTGGGGAGTTACCGTGTTCAGTGATGAATGGAGGGTTGAGCTTTTCCTCTGGTGTGGAGCTGGGCTGATACCTCAGGCCTTTAAAAGACAGAGGTCAATGTGGATGAGTCATGAGAAAACCATGCTGTAATCCGCACTTTCAGCCAGGTTTTCCATGTGCTGCAGGACCCTTGTGCCGAGTTCTGCATAGCCCCTGCGCTGCTGAGCTCTGCTGCAGCGCATCCCATGGATGGGTCGAGGGGGAGAAATCGGGCTCAGCTCTGATTTCTTTCCTTTCTCTGGATGGTTCCTCCCTGCAGGCTTTTTCCATCGACATCATTCGGCACAAAGACTCTATGGATGAGCTGTTCAGCCAGCGCAGTGAGATCTTTGGGACATGTGGAGAGGAACAGAAAGCTGTTCTCCAGGTGAGCCCCACTCTGTGATGGGGAGGGACGGAGAGGGGCGAGAGCTCAGCTTGTGCACAGGCTGAAGTAGTTTGTAATGACTCCATCTTTAGGAATTCCCACCAGTGTTAGCAGAAATCTCTTTGCATTTATTACTCTGCTTTATTGCATAGTTTTATTGCAGTGTTTGGGGATTGGGCTTGGGGGGAACAGAGATTTCTGAGGCTGCTTTAATTGGAATTACAGCCTGCGAGCGTGGAAGGCCACCAAAGGCACCTCAGCTCTTCCAGCTCACGGCATGCACTGGCGCTTGGCCTGCTCCCTTTCCATCCCTGGCTATAACTCCCCTCCCTCCTTTCCTTTAGGAGAAGACCGAGTCCCTGGTGCAGCAGTACGAAGCCGTGAGCCAGCTCAACTCGGAGCGCTACACTCGCTTGGAGCGTGCCCAGGTCCTGGTCAACCAGTTCTGGGAGACCTATGAGGAGCTGAACCCCTGGATCGAGGAGACACAAGCCCTCATCTCCCAGCTGCCCCCTCCGGCCATCGATCACGAGCAGCTCAAGCAGCAGCAGGAGGACATGAGGGTAAGAGGATGCAGCGTTGGCATCTCGGGTACCATCATACCTTAATGGAGGCACAGCTCCCACAGGGGCTTCTTATGAGTTTTTCTGGTTTTTCCTTCCCATTCTCTTCTTTTTGGGCATCCTGCCTGTATAATACAATATTATATTGGCCGTGAGTGTACCATGTGGAAATCACTAGATATGTTGGAGCCCTTCTTACTGAAATACAGATGGCACCCAAGGGAGCCAGGCTGCCTTCGGATCTCCTGCCTGATCGTGGCAGGGAAAACTGCTTTGTGCTTTTAGGGGAGAGAGCTGCAAAGCTTTCTCTGTGGCATTCCCCATGGGGAGGGGAGGGATCTGGGGAGACTGTGCCAAAGCCATGTTAGGAAGCGGCGAGTGCCATGTGCTTGGCAGATGCTGGGTCAAGAAATCCCCAGCGTGAGTTCAGTACTGATACGATCGCTGCGTTTGGAGCATCTCATGGAACAGAGGCAGCAGGTTTCTAAACAAGTGTGGGTTTTATCCCCTCTATTCCCTAGCAACTGCGAGAGTCCATTGCTGAGCATAAGCCTCATATTGACAAGCTGCTGAAAATCGGGCCGCAGCTCAAGGACCTGAACCCCGAGGAAGGGGAGATGGTGCAGAAGAAATACTCCACAGCAGAGGCCATGTATGCCCGAATCAAGGAGGAGGTGTGTCAGCGGGCTCTGGCGCTCGACGAGGCCGTCTCGCAGTCCACACAGGTACGCTGCGGTGCCATGGTGCTGAGTGCTTCTATCACAGTCCCCTGGGGAAGCCACAGGCTTTGAAATGTGGTTTCATTCTGAGTGTTACAGTTGTAAAACCCTTTATAAGGCCCAGTGGGGTCAAACACCTCTGGGGTCGTTTCCTGCCGCTCGGCACTGGCTGGGAAAGGAGGGGAGAAGGCATTGGAGTCCTGACATAGTAAATAGGGTAATAAAGTTTTACAACCTCAGTAATGATGCTCGTTCAAAGGGGCTGTGTTGGCATTCACCCAAGGTTGAAAGGGCCTCTTGAAAGAGCTTGGAGAGATAAGTTTCCTTTCTGATAAGCTGTGTGCGCAGTGAACAGCCACGGGATTTTTTGTATGGGAGAGTTAATGGTCATCTCTAGGGACTGAGCATCTCCAGAGGAGGTCGGTGGCAACAGAGATATGAAAGGAAGGACTGTAGGTGCTAAAGTCCAGAGAGGGGGTGAAGAGTTTCTGCCACTGGAGGTTTATGACCCCCTGGTTGTGTTTCATTTCCCCCTGTGTTAGTAGCACAGTTGGTTTTTGTCATGTCTGGGTGTTTTTTACTCCTGTATTGTGTAGTCACTTCTCTTGGTTTGCACTGTATTAACTCCGAGTTTTTCCCCCCCACACCCCCTTCCCGTCTCATCTCTCACTCCCATTGTGGAATGTGTTATCTGTGTGTGTTGCTGCCTGTGCCCGTCCTCCCCACATGGTCCCATTTCATTCTTGTGTTGACTGCGCCCCACCATTGCAGATCACGGAGGTAAGCCCCACACCACCCATCTTCACTTACAACTCTTCCTTTGGCCTCATTCTGATTTACACCCGGACTTCTAGTCCTGCTCCATGCACAGCTGAGCAGAACATGCTTGAAAGTTAACTCCGGGGGCCTGAAATCCCATGTCTGAGATGGCTTTTGTTGCGTTGCCGCCTGGTTACAGCCATTGGCCAAGCTTCTGCTGGGAATGCTTCCTGCAAAGCAGAGGGTTTGCTTTCCGAGCGGTTTACATTGATGCTCAGAGCTTTCTGCTCTGGCTGCACTTGCTGGTTTGCTCCTGCTTCTTGGCTGAGCCAGCGTGTCCCACATCAACTTTGCACCCAGAGCCCATCTCCTCTCTGCTGTTGGAGCCTGGGATTTGGCCAGCACCAGCACTGGTGTCCTGCAGGGAGGGCCTGGAGCTGTCCTCACCAGCAGAGATGCTTTGGGATCCTTAAGGCCAAAGTTGACTTTTCTTCTTAAGGAAGACAATAGCAGTGAACCCTGCTAGACCCCATCCTCTGTCACTCTTGGCTTTCTGGTTCTGCTTTGGTCGGAGACCCAGCACCGTGGCAGCTCACTCCTCCCCATGCATGCAGCCTTCACCAGCTCCTGCTGACCCTGCCGGGGCCATATCCTGCTGCCGTTGCACAAGTGGAGATTCCATCAGCACCAGACACGGTGCTTTTCCAGCAGCATCTCTGCACAGATGCTCAAACAACCGGGAATGGCTTTTGGTACCACGCTGCCCATCCGCAGCAGCCAAAAATGGGAGGTTTTGAAGGGTTGAATCTGGTGATAAATCGCTGCTGTGTTTGGTTCACAGTTGCCTGTGCTGGCTCTGTGAGGCTGTGGCTTGTGTGTGGTTCGAGCTGGGGCAGCCTGGGGCTGTTGGTAGCAGAGGAGAGCCGAGGCAGGCATGAACAGGAGGCTCCAGGTCTCGTTGCTATTGCAGGCAATGTTTGTCCTCTCCAAGAGGCCGCTGGGGCTGTTGCGCACGCAGGGAGCGAGGCAGCGTTGCTTCATCTCCTCTCGCCCTCCCTAATGGGCTTGTTCTTCTCCAGTTCCATGACAAGATCGAGCCCATGCTGGAGACGCTGGAAGCCCTCTCCTCCCGCCTGCGCATGCCCCCGCTCATCCCCGCCGAGGTGGAGAAGATCCGGGAGTGCATCAGCGAGAACAAAAGTGCCAGCGTGGAGCTGGAGAAGCTGCAGCCCTCCTTCGAGGCGCTGAAACGCCGTGGGGAGGAGCTGATCGGCCGCTCGCAGGGAGCAGACAAGGACCTGGCAGCAAAAGGTATCCCTGGGTGCATTAAACAGGAGGTGCTGGCTGGGCTGGTAGCTGTGCCCAGCTTCTCCTACCCAAACCACGGCTCCGTCGCTGTTGGGGAGGCTTTGATGTCCATGGGGTGTATTTCAGAGGGTCTCCTGGCCTTAGGATGAAGGATGCGTCCTCTCTATGGAGATGTCTGATGCCTGCTTCCATCTGGAGCAGACAGGGTGGTATCAACCAGGGCAGAAAGAAGCATTTGTGGCTTCTCATGCAGAGGTTTCAGCTCAGCCAAGCTGAGCCCTCCCCCTGAGCTGGTCTCTTGTGGCAACGATGGGTGGCCCCTGTGATTTGCTGGTGTTGATTCAGCATCTAATGGAGGGAAAGAGCATCCCCAGCACAAAAAGACCTGTCAACAGCGTTGGCACTAATTGGCACCTTTCTTGGCAGCTCAAAAGCCAGCTCATGGACCGAGCAAGCATAGACTTCATGCTAGAGGTGGCCAGAACAGAGGTTCACTGGAATAGGGTGTGTGGGCAAATTTGCCCTGAGCTTGCCTGCACATAAATAAAAGCTTTATTCCTGCAAGCTGGAGTTTCTCACATCCCTTGGTTCTCAGAGTAAATGCTCTAATAGTTCTGATCATCTCTAGTTCCCATTGAATATTCTTTTGGCTGTTTCTAAGTGGAAAGCGTTTGCAAAATGCTCTTGAGTTGTAAAACGATTTCCTCCTCCACTGAATGTTTTCATTCCCTTCCTCAGTAATCCAGGATAAGTTGGATCAGATGGTCTTCTTCTGGGAAGACATCAAAGCTCGGGCAGAGGAACGTGAAATGAAGTTCCTTGATGTCCTGGAGCTTGCAGAGAAGTTCTGGTACGACATGGCAGCTCTCCTGACCACCATCAAAGACACGCAGGACATCGTGCATGACCTGGAGAGCCCAGGCATTGACCCCTCCATCATCAAGCAGCAGGTGGAAGCGGCAGAGGTGAGGACCGTGGGGCTGTACTGTGTTGGGAGCTTGTCTGCACCCAGCTTGTAAGCTAAATGGGGACAGATCTTAGATACGAGCATGGCCAGAAGTGGTTGTAAAACAGTTTTGTAGGCAGGCAGGCAGATTATGACATGCTCTTTCCACTGCGATTTGGAACTACAAGGCAAAAAGCAGAAGTGTGTTTCACATATCCCTGCCCACCACCACCCCCTGTTCCAGACAAGGAAATGATGCCTAAATCACTTTATCTGCTCCTGTTTTAGGAAGCGTGTCAAGCGTGTGGTCAGACTCGTGTGCCCACTTGTTTGGAGTGACGTGGCAGTTTGCACGGGTCTGCTCCCAGTCAGAACTGGAGGCATCTCCCCAAGTGCTGTCTGGCGTGGGAAGTGTGTGTTTAGATGTCGGTTAGACCAGAGAGAAGTGTAAAGCTGGATGGGCTTGGATTTGTGTCTTGGTTGTGGTGAAATGCACTTCAGGTGGATTTGACTCAGACCTTGGGCAGCAGAGATTTCTTTATGCTTTGCTAAGTTTGTCCTTGCTGTTCTCCTTTTAGAACCATTCTGGCTTGGCTTTGCAACTAATTCCTGTATTGACAGATTACTCCTGTAAACAGGATGTCTCTTGTAAACAGCACCCTCAGCCAGGCAGTCCAGGCACGTGTCAAGCTGAATACACTTGTTCTTACTTGAGTTCCCCCAACCCCTGCACACAGCAGGTTGGTGGTGGTGATGCCAGTGAGCAGGACACCATCATCTCGCCGTGTAACCCCATCCTGGGGTCTGGCATCGGGGCTGTCAGCCAGGGCACAGGACACCAGAGCTGGGAGGATTGCCCATGCCTTAGTTGACAGGGTGATTTTGGAGGAGCATTTAACCCTAAACATGTTTCTTGTGTCACTGTGTCCCATGCAGACCATCAAGGAGGAGACGGATGGCTTGCACGAAGAGCTGGAGTTCATCCGACTCCTTGGAACCGACTTGATTTTTGCCTGTGGTGAAACTGAGAAGCCAGAAGTGAAAAAGAGCATTGATGAGGTAGGAGAGCCAGGAGCCTCTCCCGCAGGTAACATCAGGTAGGAGCAAGTGGGAGCTCGTTGGAAGAGCCTAATGCATTTTGTGGGCGATTTTGTGTTCTGCAGATGAACAACGCATGGGAAAACCTAAACAAAACGTGGAAGGAGAGGCTTGAGAAGCTTGAGGAAGCCATGCAATCAGCTGTGCAATACCAAGACACGCTTCAGGTAAGAGGCAGGGTATGGGGAGGCTTTGTGAACCCTCTCCCTGGAGTCGTACTGGGATTTGCACTCATGCAAAGCAGAAAGCATCTCCTGGGCAAGTGTTGGCAGCCTCTGGTAGAGCCTGAGCTCAGCAATCAGCTCCATGGAAGAGCAGATATTTGGTTTATTTGGCTTCCCGAATCTGACTTCATTTTGGCATGAAGTAGTAGGATGAGCCTTTAGCTGGAAGCAGGAGAGAGAAGGAAAGAGCTTACAGATCCAAGCAGGCATCTCTGCCCTGAAAGACAAGTTCTGTGGTTGCAGGGTGATGCAGGAGCCTGTGTTGCCATTCCCTTTGCTAACGATGCCTCTGCTCCTTCCAGGCCATGTTTGACTGGCTGGATAACGCCGTGATCAAACTCTGCAACATGTCTCCTGTGGGCACCGACCTCAACACGGTGAAGGAGCAGATGAACGAGATGAAGGTATGTGGGACCGGTTCTCCGGGGCTGGCTTTGCATCACCGCGCTCCAGCGATTCATTACGGTCTGGTTTTTGTCCTGCTTGTTTTGGCAGGAGTTTAAGATGGAGGTTTACCAGCAGCAGATTGAGATGGAAAAGCTTAATCACCAAGGTGAACTGATGCTAAAAAAAGCTACAGATGAGACAGACAGAGACATCATAAAGGAACCACTGACAGAGCTGAAACATCTCTGGGAGAATTTGGGCGAGAAGATTGCTCACAGACAGGTAGAGAGAAGAGTTGGGCACTTGTAGGTGTGGGGCTGAAACTCACGGGGATGCTCCTCCTCCTTCACCACTTAAACTCTCCTTTTACCATCCCTGTCCTTGCCCAGCACAAGTTAGAAGCCGCTCTCCTGGCACTTGGACAATTCCAGCACGCATTGGCTGAGCTCATGGCCTGGCTGACCCACACTGAAGAGCTGCTCGATGCTCAGAAACCCATCAATGGAGACCCAAAAGTCATCGAGGTTGAACTTGCGAAGCACCATGTGAGTACCCCCGCTCCAGCTACCCCTTCAGTCTGTTCTGTTGCAGGATTTCCTTTCTCCTGGTTTCAGTTGGCTCAAGCCCATGAGAGCGGGCAGGAATTAACAAGATGGTTTAGAGGTGTCCCAGTGTTTGCCCACCCCATCTCTTATAGAATCATAGAATAGTTTGGGTTGGAAAGCACCTTAAGATCATGCAGTTTCAACCCCCCTGCCATGGGCAGGGACACCTCACACTAAACCAGGTCACCCACGGCTCTGTCCAACCTGGCCTTGAACACTGCCAGGGATGGAGCATTCACAGCTTCCCTGGGCAACCCATTCCAGTGCCTCAGCACCCTAACAGTAAAGAACTTCTTCCTTATAGCCAATCTAAACTTCCCCTGTTTCAGTTTGAACCCATTACCCCTTGTCCTGTCACTGCAGTCCCTAATGAAGAGTCCATCCCCAGCATCTCTATAGCCCCCTTCAGACACTGGAAGCTGCTCTGAGGTCTCCACGCAGCTTCTCTTGTCCAGGCTGAACAGCCCCAGTGTTCTCAGCCTGTCTCCATACAGGAGCTGCTCCAGCCCCTGAGCATCCTCGTGGCCCTTCTCTGGACTAGTTCCAACAGCTCCATGTCCTTATCATGTTGTAGGTGCTGAAGAACGATGTCCTGGCCCACCAGGCCACGGTGGAGACTGTGAACAAAGCAGGCAATGAGCTGCTGGAGTCGAGCGCCGGGGACGATGCCAGCAGCCTGCGGAACCGCCTGGAGAAGCTCAACTCCTGCTGGGAATCGGTGCTGCAGAAGACGGAGGAGCGGGAGCAGCAGCTCCAGTCCACGCTCCAGCAGGTCAGGGGGGTCCTCCTGTGTGCGGTGGATTGGGGCTGATTCCCCCTTTGCTTTGAGGAGGAAATAAAGGGGGAAAGGCTTAGCGAGACGGTGGGAAGTGTTTCATGCCAGGTTTTTCACCTAAATCTTAGTCCCGGAGGGTTCTGAAGCAGGGCAGGGACCAAGCACACGTGCTGAAGGATATCCCATATATCTCCCACCCTGGTGCCTCCAGCTCTGCCTCTTTATCTGGTTCTGAAGCGAACGCAGCGTTAACCCTGGCGCATGATCAATGGTGGCTGATGTCATCTGATCCTGATTCTGTGTTCCTGAACAGGCCCAGGGTTTCCATGGTGAGATTGAAGACTTCCTCCTGTGGCTAACGAGGATGGAGAGCCAATTGTCGGCATCAAAACCCACAGGAGGGCTGCCAGAAACTGCCCGGGAACAGCTCAATGCCCACATGGTAATTTCCTAGGAGAGACTTTTTTGATGCTTTTAGTTCAGCAAGCTCCTGTCAAATACCAGCATTGAAACATCTCCCTTCTGTATCTGATGGGAAGGAAAGTGCTTTTCTGGTCTCTTTGAGCGGATAATTTCACACTTGATGCCTGGTACAGGTGCCGTGTGCTCAAAGTGACGCACTGCTGTCATTCACTGCCTGCCCTGAGCCTTGTTCTCACCACCCTGCCTTGCAGCCAGCCGTGGCCCCTCTCCAAGCTCTTCCCTTGTCTAACACCTCCGTGCTGCCTCCCTTGCAGGAGCTCTACAGCCAGCTCAAAGCCAAGGAGGACACCTACAGCCAGCTGCTGGCCAAGGGGCGACTGATGCTGCTGAACCGCGACGACTCGGGCTCGGGCTCAAAGACAGAGCAGAGCGTAGCGCTGCTGGAGCAGAAGTGGTGCCTGGTCAGCACCAAGATGGAAGAGAGAAAGGTAGTGTTGGTGGTGATGTCCGCCCTCACCCCATGAGCTGGTCCGGCTGTGGTTGCTCCCTGCTTTGCTGGTCTGTGTCCCAGGAGGGATGGAGCCGGTGAGGGCAGGAGAAGAGGCTGGGGTTTCCTTTTGGAGACGTTTCTGTGTTGTTCAGATTGAGTTGGTGCTGCTTGAGCGTCAAACTGTTAGTGTTTCTTCTAGACAGTGCTCAGAGTTGGTGAAACCCCACAGCAGATGAGGGTAAAGTGAGTTGTGGGTCAATAGGGAGGAGAAATGGGAAGAAACCTCCCGCTTTGAAAGGCTTTGTTGGTCCCCCACAAGACAGCAGGCGGAGTCCTCCTGTGAGCTGCCTCCACCCGAGCCTTTTGGCTGGCGATGAGACAAAGCAGGGGACACAGTGGTCTCAGCCCACAATAAATGTGTGGTGCTGCAGCTGCTGCTGTTGAAACAGCATCCCCCTCCCATGGCGATGCCGCTGTCAGGAAGCTGAGGGTGACGCAGCTGCTCGGGTGCTCATGAAGGTCTCCCCTTTCAGAGGCTGTTCTTGTTGGGAAAGGAAGCGTTGGCTTTCACCAAAGCCCCCTCCCCATGGTAAAGAAGCCGTGTTGTGAGGCCAGGAGATCCCTTTAGAGGGATGTTCCAGCAGGGACACAAAGGCTGCCTCTGTCTGCGAAGCCGCGCATCGGGAGCTCTCACCCTCTGCCTTGTGTTTTCCTCCCTTCCCTTTTCCCCTCCCCACTGCTGCAGGCGAAGCTGGAGGAGGCGCTGGCCCTGGCCACCGACTTCCAGAATTCCCTCCAGGATTTCATCAATTGGCTCACGCTGGCCGAGCAGAGCCTGAACATCGCGCCCCCGGCCAGCCTCATCCTCAGCGCCGTGCTGGCCCAGATCGATGAGCACAAGGTACCGGTGCCACGAGCACCCAAGGGCTTCCCTGGGATGCAGGAGGGAGCAAGGGTGGCTCCTCACCTCCCCTTCTCGCAGGCACGGCTCCCCTTACACAGGGCACATTTTGCTGTTTGCAGGTGTTTGCCAATGAGGTGAATGCTCACCGGGATCAGATCATCGAGCTGGATCAAACTGGGAACCAGCTCAAGTTCCTCAGTCAGAAGCAGGATGTGGTGCTGATCAAGAACCTGCTGGTGAGCGTCCAGTCCCGCTGGGAGAAGGTCGTGCAGCGCTCCGTGGAGCGGGGACGGGCTCTTGATGATGCCAGGAAGAGAGCTAAGCAGGTGAGAAACATGGGAAGGGTGTGACAGAGCCTGGGCTATATCCAGCCTTGGAGGGCAGGAGGTCCCAGGATCAGAAAGGGACTTTGGGACGTCACCAGTGTTAAGTTTCAGACTGGCTCCTGTTCCTTTCCAGTTCCATGAAGCTTGGAAGAAACTGATCGATTGGCTGGAGGATGCAGAGAATCACCTGGACTCAGAGCTGGAGATTTCCAATGATCCCGACAAAATCAAGCTCCAGCTTTCCAAACACAAGGTAGAGTTTTGCCAAAGCAAGTTCAGACTGTCCAGGCTGGGGTTTGCTGATGCCCAGTGCAAGAAAGAGACCTGGACTGGAGCTAAAAGGGGGTCTTCAGCCACTGCAGGACCCCTCTGCTGGTGCTGCACAAACCACTAAAGCAAAACTGGTGCTGAACACTGGGTGAAAGGGTGCTTTGTTGGGAGGGGAGCAGGGCAGCATCTCCTCTGCTGTGAGGGCAGGGGAAAGGAATGTCCGTGCTTACCACTGCCATGGAAAACATTCCTATGGGGATCTTCATCAGCACCATGTATCCTCAGAGAGCCAGGGCCAGGCTTCCTGCAGCCCCTTTGTTTTCTCTCTGGTTCCCAGGAGTTCCAGAAGACACTGGGGGGGAAGCAGCCTGTCTACGACACCACCATCCGAACGGGCAGAGCCCTCAAAGAAAAAGCATTGCTTGCAGATGACACTCAAAAGTTGGACAATTTACTGGGAGAAGTCCGGGATAAATGGGACACAGTGTGTGGCAAGTCTGTGGAAAGGTGAGTCCGGCCCCAGCCTTGTACCAACAGCACTCGGTGGGCTGTGGCGATGGCTAAACACACCGACCAGGCTCATTTCCTGGGGTGGCTGGAAGAGGCCACTGGAACATGGCAAAAGGAGGTGAGTTTGCTCATGGAAGTTCATGGGGATGTTGCTTTTCAGGCAGCACAAGCTGGAAGAAGCCCTCTTGTTCTCTGGCCAGTTCATGGATGCTCTGCAGGCCTTGGTGGACTGGCTCTACAAGGTGGAACCTCAGCTAGCTGAAGACCAACCTGTCCACGGTGACCTGGATCTGGTCATGAACCTGATGGATGCTCACAAGGTGAGAGTGTCCTTTCCAGCTCTGCTTTGACACACACGATGGGTTTGTCTTCCCCAAGAGCCAAAGGAGAGAGAAGCTTTGCTGCAGAGCTGCTTTGCTTTGCTGCAGTGGACGAGGAGGGCAAAACAAGTGGGAAGAAGCTTTTGCATTACTGGGAAGGATACAGGAGCTGGGGCTCCATTCTTCTGAGGTGCTGCTAGTCAGATCTGTCGAAGGTTTAGTTTGAAAAGGTGGCTGCATTTATAGGCCTGGATAAACTTTGGTCTTGGCAGTTCTCTCCAGCATGTCTCGGAGACTGGTGCTCCTGGGTTTGGATCAGCTTGTACATTGAATTCCCTGCACAGCCGCTGTGTTGCAGGGGCTGGAACTTGCCTGCTCCAGGTCACAACTGCTTCTACCAGGGTGTAAAGTTGTACCTACACCAAAACATGCACAGGAGCTGCCTGTTCTGCCTGGCTTTCTGCCTGCCCTCCCATCACACCAGCTTGGGTTGGATCCCTGATGTGGGTGCACAACCATGTTCCAGACTCATTTCATTCACTCCTTCCCTATGAAACAACCCATTGGGACTGAGCATCCCTGCTCAGCTTCTGCCCTCTGTCCCTGCAGGTCTTCCAGAAGGAGCTGGGGAAGCGCACGGGCACGGTGCAGGTTCTGAAGCGCTCCGGCCGGGAGCTCATCGAGAACAGCCGTGATGACACGACCTGGGTGAAGGTGCAGCTGCAGGAGCTGAGCAACCGCTGGGACACGGTGTGCAAGCTGTCCGTGTCCAAGCAAACCCGCCTGGAGCAGGCCTTGAAGCAGGTGAGCAGAAGGCTATGGCTGGGAACGGTCTCAGAGAGCTTTGATGGGCTCCAGCTTTGAGCCTCAGCAAAGAGGTTTTGCCCCGTGCCTGATCTCCTGGCTGAGCAGGCAGCCAAGCCCTGCAGCAGTTACCAGTGGGAGCTGCAAAGCAGCGGGTTGCTGTCAGTTATTCACTTATTCTATACCCCAAAGAAGAGCCAATAATATCTGATTTGAAAAGGGAGAATGAACAGATCTCACTGGTGTGCGCAGCGGGAATAGAGCTGTGATCAGACTGTCCAGGCTGGGGTTTGCTGATGTCCAGTGCAAGAAAGAGACCTGGATTGGAACAAAAAGGGGGTCTTCAGGCACTGCAGGACCCATCTGCTGGTGCTGCACAAACCCAGGCCAACAAACAGGACTTTTTTCCCTTGTTTTAATTAGTTTTCCAAGTCCCTCTCAGCCCTTTTGTCTCCCCAGCTCCCAGCAGGCATTCGAGCAGTGTTGCAGGAGGAGGAGACCTGATGCCTTTGCTTTTGTCGCTGCAGGCAGAGGAGTTCAGGTCGGCTGTGCACATGCTGCTGGAGTGGCTCTCGGAGGCAGAGCAATCCCTGCGCTTCCGAGGAGCGCTTCCCGATGATGCCGAGGCGCTGCAGTCCCTCATCGACGCACACAAGGTACCGGGGAGCTCTGGAACTCAGCCTGAGCAAAGCTGATGGGGGAGGATGTTGCTAAAGCATTGACTTGGGCCTTTCAGGAGTTCATGAAGAAGGTGGAGGAGAAGCGAGTGGATGTGAATGCAGCCGTGGGCATGGGGGAGGTCATCCTGGCCGCCTGCCATCCCGACTGCATCACCACCATCAAACACTGGATCACCATCATCCGAGCCAGGTTCGAGGAGGTGAGTGCACTGGGCATCGCTGGGGAGGGATGGCTGCAGGGATTCCTGCCCAGAGCTGGGCTGATGCTCATCCCTGTGCTCCCAACAGGTTCTCACATGGGCAAAGCAGCACCAGCAGAGGCTGGAGTCTGCGCTTTCTGAGCTGGTGGCGAATGCAGAGCTTCTGGAAGAGCTCCTGGCTTGGATCCAGTGGGCTGAGACAACTCTGATCCAGCGGGACCAGGAGCCCATGCCACAGAATATTGACCAGGTCAAAGCCCTCATCTCCGAACACCAGGTGAGCCCAGTGCCGAACATGGGAGGCAGTTGGGATTGGGGCACAAAGCAGGTTTCCTGCCCCTCCATGGGAGAGGAATTGACCTCTCTTGGAAGTCCCTATTAAGACAGGAGGTGACCCAACCAGAGCTGTCACCTGAGAGCAAAGCCAGCCCAGGGGATGAGCCCCAGCATTTGCAGATCCAAGCCAACGCTGTGCAATAGCTTGACCACAGGCTTACATCTTCTCTATGGCCTTGCCATGTCCCAGCAAGGACCTGGAGCAAGAGGAGACCAAAACCATCTTGAAACTGCAAAGGTTTTCTTGTCCCTTCTATATTTTCACAGTCCTTTATGGAGGAGATGACACGGAAACAGCCGGATGTGGACCGGGTGACGAAGACGTACAAGAGGAAAGCTACTGAGCCCCCCCACGGGCCTTTCATTGAGAAGTCCCGCAGCAACAGTATGTACCTGCTTGATCCGCATTGAAACATGCTATGATGGGAGGAAATGAAGTGCATGGGGAACTAATTAACTTTGATTATCAATTAGTGAGGCATCCTGCCTTGACAGGCACCAGGAAGGCGGTTGAAACCTGTTAGGAGGGGAAATCCAGGTGGCACTTGCCAAAACCCCTGTGCTGGGGCGTGTGGAGCTCGTGCTGTCGCTGCGCTTCCCTTTCCCATCAGTTGCTTTGAGATGAGGTTTTGGGTCTTTTTTGATGTTGTTTCTTGAAGCCGGAGTCCAATGTGAATTCCCAAGTGCAGAGGGAGCACTGGGGAGGCTGGGTGTAGAGCCATCCATCACCATGTCCTCCTACGCGGGGACACTGCATCCCTTTGGAGAGAAGCCAGCAAGGACCGCTCAGACTTGCTGAAACCCATCACCACCACCTCAAACAATTCCTTTTCTTCCAGGAAAATCCTTGGGTCAGGCGGCCCCCCCCAGCATGCCCATTATCTCCCAGTCAGAAACAAAGAACCCCCGGATAAACCAGCTCTCGGCCCGCTGGCAGCAGGTCTGGCTGCTGGCGCTGGAGCGGCAGCGGAAGCTCAACGATGCCCTGGACAGGCTGGAGGAGGTAACAGCCCCCGGCTGCTCGGGGATGGGGAAGGGAGCAGTGCTGTGGGTTGCTGAGAAGCATTTCACGTTAGTGCTGCCTCTTGAGTTGGCCACTCCTGCAGGCAGCTTGTGCTGCCTGGCTGACGGTATGCCTACAATATCAAGGCTGAAAACTACCTTCTGTAATGAACTGCCCATTAATGAACTGCTTCATGCCCCTGCAGTTGGTATCTGTAACAACAGCCAGGCCTGTACTCCTAGTGCTTAGTTTAACAATTACTGTCTCTATCTTTTCCAAACATCTAATGTCATTTTTGTTTTTATTTATGCTTAACAAAGCAGCTATGCCCAGAAGTGAGTGTTTTTGTTTTCTGTTGCTTTTGCTGTAGGTCAGTTCAGTTTACGCGTATTAATGTTTTTTCTTTGTTGCTTTGAACTCCCAAGAATGTTGAGAGGAGAAAGAAAATGCTTAAAAACAGTGGCATTACCTTGTTGTGAACTGCGTGAGCTGGGGGGTGGGTCATGGGAGCCCTTTTGTGGGGGGGGATAAAAAGGGTGTTGGTTTAAACTGGAGGGTGAGTGGCTCAGCTGAGGCCAGTGGCAGAGCCACAGGGATGGGGTTTGTAGAGCTGAGCTGTGCCCCAGCCACTGTCTTACTTGGAAGATGAGCAAGAGATCCCTTCTTTGCTGCTTAGAGGGAAAGGGAAAAGGGAGCAACGTGTCCAAAATGATGCCAGCAATGAGTATTCTTCCTGGGCATCATCCCCATCTTCCCAAGCAAAGACGGGGTGTGTGTGTGTGTCTGTGTGCAAGTAGCTGATGATACCTCTGCCTATGTGTACGTATACCAGCGTGGGGGATGCTGCATCCCATGTCCATGGGTCAGTGGTGCGCGGTCCACGTGGTGGCTGTTGGCTACGCTGTGTGTCCTTCTGTCTGGAAAGTCCATTTGAGTGGCCCCCTCATCTGGATAAACCCAGATGAACCTTCCAGGAGGGTGGGAGGTTGCTTTAGCACCAGGAGCTCAGCACAGGCTCAGCTGGAGGCTGGTGTTTGAGGGTGCTGTAGAGCCGGGGTTGCTGCTTCCGCAGGGGTTTTTCCCCCCTGACCCTCATGGGTTTGCTTCCAGTTGAAGGAGTTTGCAAACTTCGACTTCGACGTCTGGCGGAAGAAGTACATGCGCTGGATGAACCACAAGAAATCCCGCGTCATGGACTTCTTCCGGCGCATCGACAAGGATCAGGATGGGAAGATCACCCGGCAGGAGTTCATCGATGGAATCCTGGCCTCCAGTAAGTGCCTGAAAGGAGCTCGGAAACGGCCACCTCCGTGTGACGAAGTTGTCCCTGCTCGAGGACTGAGATGCTGAAGAAGCTGGGTTCAACCTGGAGAAGAGAAGGCTACGGGGAGACCTTAGGGCAGCACCAGTGTCTAAAGGGAAAGAAACCTGGAGAGGGGCTTGGGACAAGGGCCTGTAGGGACAGGCCAAGGGGAATGGCTTGAACCTGCCCGAGGGGAGACTGAGCTGAGCTCTTAGGCAGAAGCTCTTCCCTGTGAGGGTGCTGAGGCGCTGGCACAGGGTGCCCAGAGAAGCTGTGGCTGCCCCATCCCTGGCAGTGCTCAAGGCCAGGTTGGACACAGGGGCTTGGAGCAAGCTGCTCCAGTGGAAGGGGTCCCTGCCCGTGGCAGGGGTTGGAGCTGGAAGAGCTTTAAGGTCCCTTCCAACCCAAACCATTCTGTGATTCTGTGCTGCCCATTCTCTGACATATTCGATTCTGATGAGTGAGGTTCCTCTGTTGATTGCTTGTTTCTGTCTCCTTCCAGAATTCCCCACGACAAAGCTGGAGATGACAGCGGTGGCTGATATCTTTGACCGTGATGGTGATGGCTACATCGATTACTATGAGTTTGTGGCTGCTCTCCATCCCAACAAGGATGCCTACCGCCCCACCACTGATGCCGACAAGATTGAAGATGAGGTAAAGCACCAGAATTGATGGGTCCTCAGGGGTGTTGGGGTACTTCAGGCTGTGGAGAAGACAAAAAGGAGTGGGGAAAAAAGGATTATGGAGGTGCTGAGCCAAAATAATCAGCTGGTTCTGACAGAACCCACCATGGTTTTGAAGGAAAGGCTGCTTAGGTCTGTGTTTTATCCAAGAGACTCCCAAAATCCTGGTCCCTCACATCTCTCTGTTGGTGATGGCAGGTCACCAGGCAAGTGGCCCAGTGCAAGTGTGCCAAGAGATTTCAAGTGGAGCAGATCGGCGAGAACAAATACCGGGTAAGGCAAGAGGGGGTTGAATCCTGCTCCCCATTCCCAGCCGGGGCAGGGGGATCGCTGATGGGGTGCTGGGCACCTCATCCTCCAGCTCCCAACAGAGGTGGCTGGGCCGTGTTTGCCCAGGGCGTTCCCTGAACCGGGAGAGCATAAAAGTGTCCCTGTTCTGGGGCAGCCGTCCCAGTGAAACGCTGCATTCAGCGCGCCCGCAGCCGCCCTTGAAGTGTTCCGTGTGGATGAGTGTTCCTTCCGCCCTGTTTTTCTTAGCTTGCTCCCGACCAAGGGAGGATAATTTCCTTAAAGAATCTCTTTGTACCCAGCTCGCTGTTTACGTTTGGGATCCTTCACTGGGGTGAACTGGTGACAGAGCTGGCAAGCTGGCTCCTGCCCTCTTCCTGGTTGCGGGGCCGATGCTCCGGCCGGGAGGAGCGGAGCCGCAGCGCTCACCCCCTGCCTGCACCAGGCTCCCCGAGCTCCCACCCTCCACCCAAACAGCATAAACCCCATAGATCTCTAACTACCTGCAGTTAACAGTTCTCATGGTTATTGCACTGTTCATCCCATTAAATGGTTTTCTTGTTTTTCTTTCCCCTCCTTTCCCTCTCAATTTTCCTCCCGCCCCCATCTCCCCTCCCTCCGTAGTTCTTCCTCGGCAATCAGGTACAGTTTGCCTTGTGATGCTGCCTCTCACCTCCTCAGTTTTGTTAACAAACGTAGCTCTGTGTGTCCTGTCCTTTGTTGCTGTGGGAGGATGGGATCTGTGAGCGCTGCTCAGCAGAGCCTGGTACAGGGGAGTGCCTGGGCTGGGAGGGCCACGTTGAAAAACCACTGCATTGGGCAGAAAAAGAAGGGGAAAATTCAATGGGAACAGCAGGATTTGACAAAAATGAGAGGTATTTCCTCACTGTGGCTCCTTTCTCGTATACATTGGGGGTGCTGATGGGAAGCAGTGGCAAATCACAGCACCCTGAGTGGGGAGCACCTACCTGCACGAGGTCTGTACCAGGCTCTGGGTGCGTTTGGATCCCAATCACCGTGGAATGAGAGCACTGAGTCCTCCCTTTTAGTCCTGTAGGTAACGATAACTAAACCCTCATCCCCTTACCCCTCCTGAGTAACTCCTAACTGGAGCAAGGCTCACAAAACCTGCATGTATCCCCATCATGTCATGAGCTGTGGTGAGTGGGGCAGCGTGAGTGCTGGCTGGCTCAGGGGGCAGAGCCCTTTCTTTAATGGGACTGGAGCATCACTTGTCGATAGCATGTGCCACTCGAATAGAAGAGCACATTTTTCATGTAGGATGATGGTGCCCTACCAAAAGCATGTCCAAAAAGAAACAAACTTGGCTGGATCCAAGGGAGCTCTGGCTATCATTTAGGCGGTGATTTATAGAAACATTTTCAACAGCAACTGAAGAATAAGGTCAATGTGGCAGAGGAAATGGGAATTGACTTGTCCCTGCTGCAGAACAAGCTCTTGAAGGACACCTTACACAGAGCCTAGAGAGTGGGAAGGCAGCTCCCTGCCCTCCTCATGCCCGGGGCACTGCAGCTCTGCCAAGCATGGCTGTGACTGCTCTTTCACCATGAGCCTGTTTTGGTAGCAGGGAGACCCAGCAGTGCATGGTCCAGAGTCCCATGTCCCTGTGGGAGGAGATGCTGTTCCCTCCTGCCCCTCTGACCCACCCCAGTGGCTTTGCACTCTCTTGTTTTCATCCAGTCTCCTGGGCTTTCCATTCTTACCCACCCAGAGGAAATGCTGCTGCTGTTTATTTCTTGGTTTTAATCATCCTGAAGGTGGTTCTTGATTTCAAAGGGTTCCCCCATCCTCTCATCACAGCAGATGCGCTGTAGACCTGCCTGCAGAGCTGCTGCATCCCAGCCAGGCTCCCGGTGTCCCACACCAGATCTGGTGCAGAGGGCAACTGGGAGCCTGGGCTTGGCTGTCCAGGAGATTCAGGGGAGCTTTGTAAAACAGACACATGCTTCTAATGGAGGGTGCACTCTGAGACTGCAGGTGTTTAAAATCACTAATGAACATTGCAATCACTAATCGACATTGCTGCGGGATTCCTGCCTGGATTCCCATCACTCTGCACTCACCAGAACATCCTCATGGGGTGATCTCTGCGGCGGGGGCTTTCTGGCTGCTGGGGTCAAGTCTGAGGCTCAGTGAAATCCCTGGGCTTCAGACTTGGTGAGAAGAGGTTCCTGGCTGAGCGGTGCAGCACTGCTTTGCCTCACTGATGCATTGGCATCCGTGAGCTGGATCCGCCGGCTCTGTTCCCCGTGGGCTGCACCAGGAGAGGGGCATTGCATTGCCAGCCTCTTATTTCCTTCACAGTCAAAAGAAACTACAATTCTGGCTGGAAAAATCCCATCCAAAGACCCAATTCCAAAATCTCATTCACTGCTCTAAAAAAAAAATCCCCTTTCTAGCTTTAAAACTAAAGGATTTGGTGAGTTGCATCATCTTAAAACCATGGCAGCAGCAGAGCTGCTGTAAATTGGTGCTAACCTACGCTTCCTCCAGAAGAACCTGTCTGGAGTAGATCATCCCCAGGATGTGGAGCAGCCCGCGGTGGGAAGGGGCCGGGTCTCCCCTCTCGTGTCCCCCTTGTCTGAACTCTTCCTTGGCTCCACAGTTCGGCGATTCCCAGCAGCTGCGGCTGGTCCGTATCCTGCGGAGCACGGTCATGGTCCGCGTCGGGGGAGGATGGATGGCCCTGGATGAGTTCCTGGTCAAGAATGATCCTTGCAGAGGTAAGGCAGCTCCTGGGTTTTACACCACCAGTGTCTTCTCACCCAGTAGTTTGAGAGCTTGTCTGCTGTGAATGAGTGGATGGTGCCGGAGCGGGCCTGGGGTATCCAAATAACAGGGGGGAGCTGGAGAAAAGACATCCACAGAATGTAAAAAGCAAAAGGTTTGGTGATAACTGCGACAGTATCTGCCCAGGGGTCTTGGGAAGAGGAAAGGGAATGGATGTGGTTCTTGTTTTAAGACCCCAGTGAGTGTTGCTGCACTGTGCACTGGGAGTCTCAGCTTTGAAGCAGTCGGTGCGTATGTGTGATTCTGAGTGATGGAGTGAGCTTCATAGAGGTGATCTGAAAGAACTCAGAAGGTTCAAAGCCAGGAGATGATAAAATCCTGGTCTGAGGCACTCTGGGGAGAAGATGCTCAAGCCCAGAATCAGTGAACCCATGGTACTGAGGCACTGGGCTGTGGCCACAGGGTACGGATGGTCCATGCTCATCCTAGTGAATAAGGAGACATTTCTGCTGTGACCTTGAGCTACTTGGTTTCTCCCTGTCCTATTTCTAATACAGGTCTTCTCAGTTCATCTGTCATCCCTTTAGAGCAGTGGCATAGGGAACTAACATGGAAGCCCTGAGCTGTACAGGCCCGTGCACCCTAAATAAAGCAGCAAGAGCCGATGGTACTGGGTCTTCTAATGCCTTACAAACCCTGAGGTCTCCTCCCCTTTGTCCCCTTCCAGCACGAGGACGGACCAACCTCGAGCTCCGAGAGAAGTTCATCTTGCCGGAGGGGGCCTCCCAGGGGATGACGCCGTTCCGATCGCGAGGCCGAAGGTCGAAACCATCCTCCCGAGCCGCCTCCCCAACACGATCCAGTTCCAGTGCCAGCCAGAGCAACCACAGCTGTGCTTCCATGCCATCCTCCCCCGCAACCCTGGCCAGCGGAGCCAAGGTGGGTCTGCGTGTGAAGCCTTCCTCTTCCATCACCTCTAGAAACCTCCAAACCTGGCCGCATGAGGAGCTGCAGGAGGTGCATGGAGGAGGAAGAAGAAGGTTGGGGTTTGGGGGCTCGGTGGTTACTGTGGTCTCTAGAAGATGTTCATGGTGTCTGCAGCAGGATGGAGGGTGGGATGGTGCAGGACAGGTTCTCAGCCCAAGCTGGGCACTCGTGGCTCTGCAGGATGGTCCCTGGTATCACCGTGCAGCTGAAGGCTCCTGATCCCCAGGGCTGAGCTACTGCCATGGTGCCTGGCTGGCACGCAGGAAGAAGCCATCACCCATGGTCTCTCCGTTCCCACCACATCATCCACCCATGCATGCTGTATTCCATCATCTCTTTGGGTTTTTCCCCTTTAATTTATGTATTCCCGTTTGGTTCTCATTTCATTTTAGTGCTGTTTTCCCCCATTCCAGATACTTTTCCATTCCTTTATTTTTTGCCCTTCCACTCATCCCCACCTCTCCCCCTCTCCTTGGATTTTCCATTTCACAGACTCCACATCACTTCTCTCGATGTTATGACAAACCCTGGTTGATAAACAGTAAAGCGAGCACCCCCCTGAGGGGATTCGATTATTCCGACTTCCAGCTCCCAAGCGCCGAGGTAGAGTATGGTCTGAAGCCCCGAGGACAGGCCGGCGTGCTGCTCCCATGGAGAATCCCTGCTCCCTGCCTGTTTTAATGCTTCCCTTGTGGTAGAGCAGCGCTTGTTGGCACCGCTACCGCACGGACTGTGAGCAGTTCTCACCGGTTTCTAACTCGGATCAAGTCCAACATCACCCTTAGGATAAAGCACAGTTGGTGATTCCCATTTACGTGCTTTCGAGCCACACATTGATCCCCTTGTGCTTTGAAAATTCATCATTATTAATGCTTTTAAGCATTATGATTGGAGCAGGACAATCAGAAAGCTGAAACGCAGCAGCCGAGTTGAGACCTGAGAACCAGCCACAGCGCATGCCCAGCACCACGCTGCTCCGTGCTTACCCAGTGCTTGTGTTCAGCACCGTGTTGAAGCACACGTATGGTGTGTCTGGCGCTGTCACCGCCTCCGTGCTCCCAGGAGGAGGAATTCTTTGGGCTCCTTCCCCTGACCTTGTGTTTCGGGGGTGAGGAACACCCCGGGATTCACCGAGCGGTGATAACTGCGCCTCGCTCCGCGGTGCTTTCACGCAGGAAAAGGAATCCTTTGAAATCATCAGACAGGCACTTCCTTGATTTCCCTACATTGCCTGCTTGCTGCCTGTTGTAAACTAGGATCCAGGATGAGAACTGAAGTCTCTGGTGATGATAATGGTACCTGTGAAATCACATGTTAATGGGTTTTAATCCGCAGGGAGCTCACTGCAGCTGCCCCTCTCCCACCACCCGCTCCCCTGCTGCAGCTCCAGTTTCATGGCATTTCAAGGTTTCCAGGTTGCCCAGAAATCACAGGGGATGAAGGGGAATCTCTCCAGCTGTGCTTTAAGCTCATTGGGAGCTTAAAGCACCACCCTCTGCTATTGGTGTACATCTATCCAGGAATGCCCCTGCGCTGGAGCAAGGTGCTGCTCCAAGCCCCTGGACACCGCAGGCAGCTGCTTCCCTGTGGCACTACCCCAAACCTGGAGCTTTGCTTGGTGTAGAGAAACTGGAGCTGCCCATTCCATCCAGATCCAGGTGCCCTTGTCCTGCTGGCACCTTCCCCTTTGCTTCCTTCCGCAGCAGCGGGAGCAGAGCTGCCTGTTTGCTGCTTTCCCATCTGCGTTTGCAACATCTTAAAGGTCAGGAACAAAGCAGCGTTTCAGGATGTGGCCGAAGTGGATCCACTGTGGTTTGTGTCCCTTGTCCATAGTTGGTGCCTCACCAGAGTTGTCTGCCCTTGGTGGGTGCACAGACCTGCCCAGGGCACTGGGGCAACATCCCTCCACCTTGCAGCATCATGCAGCATCTCTGCAATGGGATGTGTTACTTAAGACACTGCTTTATATTTGACCTTCCCAAACACTCCTGAGCTGCTTAGGTGCTAAAATACCCATTTTTGCAAGATTTCACATTCCCTTTGTGGAGCTTTTGAGCCCAGCTGATGCCGTCCTCCCCCAGGTGGATTGCAGCTTTGCTTTGGTTATTTTTCCAACAAAAAGCTGTGCTTTAGCCTGCAGCTCCAAATTTTCAGGATCCAGGTTTTTCCCTTTTGCACTCAGTACTGCTGAAACGCCAGCTCGTGTTCTCCTTGACCATTAAGATGGGTGTTCATTAAATGTTGAGCTCTTCTTGCCGAGGTGCTGCCCTCGGACGTGCCCGTGGCCCGCCATGGCCCAAGTGCCATCTAAGAGATGCTGTGTGTGTGCTTCCTCCCAAGGTGACCCCCTCTGCGGGCAGCAAGCTGAAGAGACCCACCTTCCACTCCAGCCGCACCTCCCTGGCTGGGGACACCAGTAACAGCTCCTCACCCATCTCCGCAGGTGCCAAAACCAGTTGGGCAGGTCAGTTGGGTGCAGAGGCTGCAGAACTCCTGCTGCTGCTGTTTCTATGGGGTTGCTGGGATTGGCAGAGAAGATAGTTCAGGTTTAGGGAGCAGGCAGTGAGCTGGGGAGGCTGATGCCCACCACTGTGTCCTGCTTGGGAGAGGAGATCATAGGATCCTAGAATCCCAGGTCAGAAGGGACCTCAAGGATCATCTGGTTCAACCTTTCTAGGCACAGCATGACCTAGACTACATTCCCAGCACCCTCTCAAGCTGAGCTTTAACAGTGCCCAGTGTTTGGATGTCACCAGTTCCCTGGGGAGATTATTCCAGTGGCTGGTTGTTCTCAATGGGAAAAGTTTTCCTCTTGTGTCCAACCAGCATCTCCCCAGGAGTAACTTGTGCCCATCCCTCTGCATCTTTTCCATGGAACCCATTGTCAAAAGGGAGTCTCTGTCCTCTTTGTAAGCCACCCTTTAAATCCTGGAACATGGTGATAGGCTCTCCCCTGAGTCTTCTCTTCTCCAGGCTGAACAGATCCAGCTCTCTCAGCCTTTCCTACACGGCTTTCCAGCACTTGGACTGTCTCTGTGGCCCTTCTCTAGACCCTTTCCAGCCCGTCAGCATCTTTGTACAGCAGGAATCAAAACCAGACTCATTGCATAGGAGATGAAGTTCTGGTGTCCTCAGCATAAGAGCTGTTGGAGCAAGGCAAGAGGAGGCCACGAGGATGCTCAGGGGCTGGGGCACCTTCTGTATGGAGCCAGGCTGAGAAAGTTGGGGCTGTTCAGCCTGGAGAAGAGAAGCTGCGTGGAGACCTCAGAGCAGCTTCCAGTGTCTGAAGGGGGCTATAGGGGTGTTGGGGAGGTACTCTTCATCAGGGACTGTAGTGATAGGACAAGGGGTGATGGGTTCAGACTGAAACAGGGGAAGTTCAGGTTGGATCTAAGGAAGAAGTTCTTTACTGTGAGGGTGCTGAGGTGCTGGCACAGGGTGCCCAGAAAAGTAATAAATGCCCCATCCCTGGCAGTGTTCAAGGCCAGGTTGGCTGGGGCTGGCAGCAACCTGCTCTAGCGGAAGGGGATTGGAACTGGATGAGGTCCTTTCCAATCCAGACCATTCATTCCATAGTTCTATGCTGCAGCAGTTTGACAGCTGCTCCCTTAAATCTTGGGAATGAATCGGTGCTGATGTTGAACCCCCTGTTTCAGGGGGGATGGGATGGGGATGGGGACGGGAATGGGGATGGGGACGGGGACGGGGATGGGGATGGGGATGGAAATGGGGATGGGGATGGGGATGGGGATGGGGACAGGGATGGAGATGGGGATGGGGACGGGGACGGGGACAGGGATGGAGATGGGGATGGGGATGGGGAATGGGGATGGGGACGGGGATGGGGATGGGGATTGAGATGGAGATGGGGATGACTCCTCCTCACGGCTATGCCCTTGCAGACCCCAAGAGGACAGCGAGCCGCCCCACCAGCCGTGCCGGGAGCCGCACCGGGAGCCGGGCCAGCAGCCGCCGCGGGAGCGACGCCTCCGACTTGGACGTGCTGGAGACGCAGTCGGCGTGCTCGGACACCTCGGAGAGCAGCGCGGCCGGCGGGCAGGGTGGATCGCGCCGTGCCGCCGCCAAACCCTCCAAAATCCCCACCATGTCCAAGAAAAGCACCACTGCCACCCCGAAAACACCCGGCCCCAAGAGATAATACTGTACCGAGGCACAGGGAGAGAGGAAACCCGACCCGTGTCCAGTTTTTAACCCTGCTCCGTACATTGGATGTATATTTATTCTAAATGGGAGAAACTATATTGTTAAAAGTGTAAAAGAAAGTTGTGTTATGAAGCTGCCTTATTTTGGGGGGGGGGGATGGGTTGTTTTTTTTTTTGTTGTTGTTTTCTTTTTTTTTTTCCTTTTTTTTGTAAGTTACTATTTTCATGTGAATATTTATGTAGATAAAAACTTGCCTCTCGGCGCTCCCTGGTGCGAACTGGGGGCTGGAAACCTGCGATGTGGGAGAGAAAGAAGGGGGGGAGGGGAGGGGGGGGAAAAAGGAAAAGAAAAAAGAAAAAAGCAAAAAAAATTGCAAAAAAAAAAAAAAAAAGGAAGCAAAACAAAAAGGTCAAGATGTGAAAGTGTAAAGAAAACCGAGCCTATAAATAGGATTTCTGCGCGGTGCAGGGTGCGAACCTGCTTTATCTTTTAGGATTGTTTCCTAAATGCATCTTTATAAACCTAACTTGCTGTCTCAGCAAGGTAAATTATATTTAAAAGCAAAGACCTGAATCCTGCAGTGTCCAAGGAACTCTCTTTTTTGTAACTCACAGATACCTCAACCGCAGACACGTGAGGTGAGGGGACGGGGGGCTTCTGTTTCCATTCTCCTTTACAGCTGAGGTGGTTTTAGCTGGAGGAAGCGGGGTTTGACCTGACGCAGTTTGCACACGAAGGTGACGGCGATTCCCTGGCCTCAGAACAGTCCCGGCTGCTTTGCTTTTAAGGAACAAAGGAGTAAATGGGGGGGGGTTTGGGGAGGGGTTCACGTTGAAGCTGCCCAATGGAGAGCACGGGGTAGGGATGCAGGTCTGGACCGCTCGGATGCATCCCTGCGCGGTGGTGGGTCCTACACGTTAAGAGGGTTCTCCTGGCTCAATGGGGCCGACTGCTTCACTGTTTTACCTGCATCTGTTTGGGGGTTGGGGTTTTGGGTTTTTGTTCCTATTTATTATTGAACCGGTCATTCCACTTCCAACCAGGCTGAGATGGATGCGACCTCTGCTCCCAGGAGAAATCTGGACTTACACGCACAGTTGCTTGTCCTTGAAACGAGTCTCACCAGCACACTTGCTATGAGCCCTGTCTCGCTTTTGTACGCTCCTTTCTCTTTGTAATAGAATCCAACTGACCAAGTGACCAGGAGACGGGCCGGGGCAGGGGCTCTCCGAGCTCCTCTATTTATTAACCGCTGTTCCTCTCCGGCTCCGACCGTGTTGCTGTGTGATTCTCTCAATTGGTTGAAATTGAGGCAAAACTGAAGCTCTACCAATGAATTGTTTAAAAACCAGACACATTTTTGTATTAAAATTGCTTGCGGTAATAAACGATCTTGCCTCCTACTTTATTCCACAGTGTTGGATTTGTGAGAGCTGGAGCTGCTCATCCCCTGCAGGGAGGCGATGGCTGAGCCCACCATGGGGGCCTGCACACAGGTTTCCCTTGCAGGACAGAGCCAGGAAGCCCATAATCCAAAGGCCTAGGTGGATGGGTGCTTGCTGGCGTGGGTACCCACTGGTGATGGAGGGTGCTCGTTGGGGTGGGTGTTTGCCAATGAGAGTGAGTGTCTGGTGGGTGCTTGGTGAGGTCAGTGTCTCTGGAAGTGGGTGCACAGGGTAAGGACCTGTTTTGGGATGGGTGCTGCTGAAGTGGGTGTCTGGGGATGGATGCCTATGGGTTTGTGTGCCCGTGAGTTTGGGTATCCATAGGGGTGAATGACCATGGTTTGTGTCAGTGATGGTGGATGCTCATTGATATGGGTGCCTACGAGAGTGGGCCGTTGGTATTGGTGCTCATATGCATGGGTGCTCATGGGTTTGGGTGCCCATGGAGGTGAGCATCCGTGTGGAAGGATGCCGATGGTTTGTGTGTCAGTGAGAGTGGCTGCCCACGGGTCTGGGTGCCCATGAGGGTGAGCATCCATATAGGGATGGGTGCCCATGATCTTTGGGTGCCCATGGAAACAAGAATCCACAGGGGTGACTGCCCATGGGTTTGGGTGCCCCTAGGGGTGAGCATCCTTAGGGATGAGTGCCCATGGGTTTGGGTGCCCCTAGGGGTGAGCATCCTTAGCAATGGTTCCCCATGAGTTTGGATGCTGATGGAGGCAAGTGTTGCTAGGGGTATGTGCTGTTTGCTCTGGGTGGCCACAGGGTTGAGCATCCTTAGGGATGGGTGCCCATGGGTTTGGGTGCCCATGGGTTTGAGTGCCCATGGAGGCAAGCATCACTAGGGATATGTGTTGTTTGCTCTGGGTGCCCACAGGGGTGAGCATCCTTAGGGACGGGTGCCCATGGGTTTGGTTGGGTGTCCATGGGTTTGGGTGGCCACGGGGGTGAGCATCCTTAGGGATGGGTGCCCATGGGTTTGGGTGCCCACAGAGGTGAGCATCCTTAGGGATGGGTGCCCATGGGTTTGGTTGGGTGCCCATGGGTTTGGGTGGCCACAGGGGTGAGCATCCTTAGGGATGGGTGCCCATGGGTTTGGGTGCCCACAGGGGTGAGCATCCTTAGGGATGGGTGCCCATGGGTTTGGTTGGGTGCCCGTGGGTTTGGGTGGCCACAGGGGTGAGCATCCTTAGGGATGGGTGCCCATGGGTTTGGGTGCCCACAGAGGTGAGCATCCTTAGGGATGGGTGCCCATGGGTTTGGGTGCCCATGGGTTTGGGTGCCCATGGAGGCAAGCATCACTAGGGATATGTGGTGTTTGCTCTGGGTGCCCACAGGGGTGAGCATCCTTAGGGATGGGTGCCCATGGATTTGGTTGGGTGTCCATGGGTTTGGGTGGCCACAGGGGTGAGCATCTTTAGGGATGGGTGCCCATGGGTTTGGGTGGCCACAGGGGTGAGCATCCTTAGGGATGGGTGCCCATGGGTTTGGTTGGGTGCCCGTGGGTTTGGGTGCCTCTGAGGCTGAGCATCCTCAGGGGTGGCTGCCCACGGGTTCGGCGCCCAGCGCAGCGCCCCGGGGCCGCGGGCGGGGAGGGCCGGGGCGTCCCGGAGCCGGAGCCGGGGCCGGGGCCGGGGCCGGGGCGGTGCCGCCGGAGGGACCGTCCCTTTCCCTCGCCCCGCCGGGGCGGGCCGGGACCGTGCCCGTGCCCGGGGCAGCACCGCACCGGGTGGGGGGGGTGGGGGGTGGCGCGATGGGGCCGGGGCGCGGGGCTGCGGGCAGGGGTCCGGTGCGGGCGCTGTGGCTGCTGTGCGCCGTGGCCGCGCTCTGCCAGCTGGGCAGCGGCAGCGTCCTCCGCCGCCGGCTCCACGCCGCCGGTTTCCTGCAGCGGCGGCTGAGCGGCGGCGAGCGCCGGGACGTGCAGCGGGAGATCCTGGCCGTGCTGGGGCTGCCGGGCCGGCCCCGGCCGCGGAACCCCCCCTCTGCCCGCGGCCCCGCCGCCGCCGCGCCGCTCTTCATGCTCGACCTGTACCACGCCGTGGCCGGAGAGGAGGAGGCGGAGGAGGAGGAGGAGGAGGCGGCGGTGTCGCGGCCGGTGCTCACCGGGCTCAGCACCCAGAGCCCCCCGCCCGGCAGCGTCGTCAGCCGCGCCGACACCGTGGTCAGCCTCGTCAACGTGGGTGAGCGGCTCCGGGAGCACCGGGGAGGGCGGCGGGGACCGCGGGGTGCGGGCAGGGTCCAAGCGGCTTTGCTGGGGCCGGAGCGCACCGGAGGGACCGGAGCCTGCGGAGGCACCGGGATGCTCGGGGAGGACCGGGGCTCACGGACGGAGCCGGTGGGGGAACCAGGGCAGATCAGAGCGAGCGGACAGGACCGGAGCCTGCGGGGGGACCTGAGGGACCGGGCAGGACCGCGGGTGGAGGCACCGGAAAGTACAGGGAGGGACGGGGCGCACGGGGCAGCGGCGGCGGCACCGTCGGGGCTGGGCACGGCACGGAGCTCTCCAGGCCGGGCTGAGCCGAGCCCGACCCAGACCCCGCGGAACAAACCTCGGCCTCCGGCTGCGGGAGGGGACCGGGGCTGGAGACCCGACGGCTCCGAGCATCCCCCGTGCGGCGCTGCCTCCCCAGGGCATCCCCGGTCAGGAACGGGGCTTCTGCATGGAGCTGAGCTTAATGACGTGCTGCGAGGGGGGAGGTGGGCGCGGGGTGCACCCCGGGGTGCTGGGAGAGGGCACCACGGTCCCTGGTCCCATCTCAGTGGGTTCACATGAAGCGGTTGCAGGCCCGCGGGTGGGACAGCAGCAGCACGGACTCGGTTACCAGCGGTGGGACATTGAATCAGGGCTCAAATGAAATCCTTAAGGATGCTGATTATTGCTGGAATCTCACCCAGCTGAATACTGGGCAACGTCAGGCTCCAGAGACCCTCCAATTTCCCACCAGCATCAGCAGGGATGTGAGTGCTGGCACACGAGGGGTCCCCTCATAAGGGCAGGCACCGGGGTGATCTAACCCCAGTAGGATGCTCAGGCTACGCTTTTGGATAGAGACCCTTTCCCTGCCTCTGTTCGCTTCTTTAAGGGGTGTTTGGGTGTCCCTGACCAGGCCAAGCACGATGAGGCTTCTAGGGAGCATCTGTGCAAAGGCTGAGGGACAAGAAGCAGGGCAGGGGGTGTCAGTAAGCACCCATGCTCGGTGTCCCGAGCTCAGGGATGCCTCCTTCGATTTGGCTGCTGCACCATGGTGTGCCAAAGGGTTTGCAAGGGGAAAGTGCCTCCTCCAGCACCCCCGAGGACCACACAGGTCCCGTTTGCTCCTCAGCACCTCCTGAGGCCCCACAGGCAGTGCTCTGAGCATGGGGAGAAATCCTCCAGGAGATTCCTGGAGCTCAGCATCCCAGGGAAGGGGGGGAGATTCCAGGGCATCAAATCCCAGCTCCCCTCAGCCTCAGGACACCACAGAAACACCAGGTTTGATGCCAGCCAGGGGGGGATGCTGAGGGGGATGCTGAGGGGGATGCAGTGGTGCTGGCGCCGCTCCCTTTCCTGGTGCTCCTGGAGCAGCAGAGTTGGGGAGCACAATTCCAGCCTTCAATTTGAATGGCTTTGATTTCTGCGGCTTTCTCAGTCCCTTCATGTTAATTAAATTAATGTCTGTGGGAGAAGGCTA